TATATATATATATATATATATATATATATATATATATATATATATATATATATACTTTTTAGTTTATTTTATTATTTTTCCCATCACTTTTGTCATACTAAATTCAGGTCGTGTTCTTAACGTCGGAAGCATCGGTGGCATATGGACGTTTCCAGGCAACGCTGCATATTGCATGACAAAATATGCTATCGAATGTTTCACGGATTCACTGCGTTATGAGATGTATCCATGGGGTGTTAAGGTAACATTTTGAAACAATATTTGATATTTTATTAAATATTATAACACACCTAAATAAATCTCAGTCACTGGATTGGTGGAGTTCGTATCACGTGACAGTGGTTATTTATTCCATTTCGTCAGTCATCATGGAAATTTAGTTCTACCATGCATTTTTAGTTCATTCGTGCATTTTCGTTTCATCCGTTTTTGTCCTGTGCATGGTTCCTAGGATACGATATGACAATCAATACAATACAATCTTTTGATTGGTTAAATAGACGTTAGACTGTTATTTTGAAAAGGGTATATTTTTTCATAAAATATAAAATGGCAAGAATCTATTTTAGGTGTGTTAAAAAACAAATAATGAATGTTATTTTATCAGTGCAATGGAAAGAATATTTTATTCGTTGAAAGATTGACTGTTCCACCCAACTCGACTCCGCCTCGTCGAATGGAACAGTCAATCTTTCAACTCATGAAAATAGTATTCCCATTGCGCTCATAAACATTTATTATTTATTATTTGTATAAAGTTGGAAAAGTCCATCTTCTTTTAACCAATGACGGAGACGTGCAGTGGAACAACAAAAATGTACGGATGGAACTAATGTTTCATGATGATTGACAAAATGGTGTAAATCAAATCGAATGGAAAGGATATTATATTTAGGTGTGTTTAGGTTTCTTACGTCATTCTTCATGTAATTCAGTTCCATTCTCTTTCGTTGCACGACTCCACCTAATACAATGTTTTCATTTGTTAAAAGAAAATGGACTGTTCTAATTGGAAGAAAGCTAGACGTAAATATATATTTTAAAAAGGACCCAAGACCTTCCAATAATACCGTTTGGATACTCTACTGAGCTATGAGGGGCAATCTCATTAATTTCAGTTGCCATATTTTGGTATGCTTGTATACCTAAATAATATATTACTTATAATATAAATAAGAGTGTATCAATTTATTTAGGTCTATTTAATTACCAGAAAAGTAAACAAGCATAATAAAGGTTAATATGGCCAATCTGTTTAATAAATGTGATCATATAATTATTTTTAGTGATGAATTATTTGTATATGTTCAACTTAGGTATCCCTTATTAAACCGGGCCAGTATGGTAAGGCAACTAACATAGGCATTAACTACATCGATCGTACGTCTGATGAAATATGGTATAATGTAGATGAAGACGAAAGACTACGGCAAAGAACATTTTGACGCATTTTCCAAGTTTTATGAGGTAGCTCGTGACATGTGTTATGGAGACGAGACATCTGTGGGGAACAGTATGGTGAATAGTACAACGTCACAAAAACCACGAAATCGCTATCTTGTTGGTGGTTGGTACATGACTTATTTTGAAGCCTTTTGGATGAAAATGCTTCCATCGTGGCTAGGTGATCGCCAGTTCAATCGGTTGATGGAGCGATATTTACCACTTCCAGCCCTCGTCCAATCAAAAGGATCCTAAGTAATCACGTAATATTTATCGTAATGTTTTTGGTTTATTTGTTTGACAAAATATACATTCAGGACTATAAAATTTTATTTGAAAAAAAAAACAACATGTGGTTAGGCGATCGTTAGTTTAATCAGTGTATAATTTACCACTTCCAGCACTTGTCCAATCAAAAGGATCCGAATTAACCACGTGACATATATTTTAAAGTTTTTATGTATACAAAAATATATCGTAGAAAATTATATCCTTGTCCAAACTATTCAATTTTGTTTGTACACAAACATGTGACATGCCTAATTATGGTCATGATGACATCACATCACATCACATCATGAATGACCATATACAGGTACATCATGACTATATATGGGCATAGAACAATTTTTTTGTCAAAGAAAATATAGTAGCATCGCAAATTTGGAGGAGCATTTAAACAAATAAGATTAAACTTTATGGTTGCCTATTCATGTAATTTAATGCTCAGTTTAGTAGCAAGCATATAATGTTTAATAGTTTTTTCTATATTTACATTTGAACCAAGAAAGTAATATATCAACAGTTTGAAAATGTTTTGCTATTAATAATGATGAAGATAATAATGATTATCATGATTATTATAACAATAATACTGTTAATAGAAATACAGTAATGTTGATATTTATAATGATGTAGTACAAACTATAGGCCTAATATTAACAGTGAAAATTTTCAATTCAAAACGTTTTCAAACACGGTAAATTTCATAAGGAATTGCACAAGCTGACAAACTGAGCATGTAACACCTGCCTTTGCAAAATCGAATACCACGCACTAATATTCACACTTGGCTTGCAACACTACAGAGAGATACTTTATAGAGAGCAGGGGGGCTCATTCGGCTAAACTAGTGGTAGCCCCAGTGGTTTAATTCCATCCTCTGCTCTCATTGTGTTTCAGCTCGCGGGCTGAAAGTTTTGGTAGTGCACTGACTTTCAAATCGTTGGTCCCGTGTGCAATATGGTTTATATTCGGAAAACAGTAAGGGATTGTCAATTGTACAGTTGTACAATTCACGATTCCAAGGACCTCAACAGGAAACATGTTTTCGGAAATTTTGGAAATTCTTATGAGTACGGATCACGGGAAGCATATATTCCTATATATAAATATAAATAAATAAATAAATATATATATTTATATTATATATAATATAAATAAATGCATAAATCATCAAAGATGATTGTAGTGATCGCTACTTTCGTAATTGAACATTTCTCTGTTGAAAAAAGTAGAACACCCGGGTGGGTTTAGTCTCTCTCTCCATTCCGTAGATCTTTCAATGATCTTTTGAAATTGTATGTGTCCTATTTCTAACATGGACCTGGTTCTGCCAATATACTTGGCCCTTTGTGACTATTTTGGAATGTGCCAAGTCATTTTTAGGCCTACTATTTGTTTACTTAAAATTTACTTACTATAAATTCGACGCATTCACGTAGGCAAAACAAATGAAAAATGCTTGTACTAATAATTATAATAAATAAAACAACGTAGTACAAAAAGACAGGTTAGCGGCCTGTAAGGAGGATATAATGGACTGAAAGCCCGCCACCAGAGTGAATTCCCTCTATACGTCTAACCTTGAAAAAGTAATGAAACACTTTTTAAATTTAAAAAAAACAAACTTGTTTCCACTGTTCAGCCTACTATGTTTGTATTGCATATATTTAATGTCCATGAACTAATATTACAGTATTTAAAAAGTCCTTTAAGTCAAGAAATCAACCAATATTATGATTTTTGTTACCGGCCATAGGTAAACTGCCTTTTTATGCTTTTTCATGTGATTTCTAGACGAGAAACAGACTTAGAATATTGTTTCCAAATAATGAATGTAATGTACTTAGCTGATAGCCTATATTTCTTTAACATTAATTCAATTAAAACATCACCGTGTTTGTCCAGACCTAAAATATTGAAAATTTGTAAGACTTCCTGTCTTAGTTGTGATCATAACTATTAAAACATATTAGGATTTTTTGGAATTGTATGTGTCCTATTTCTAACATTGATCATCCCTGACACGATCCACTTGAATGGGAATGCTTAGACCAAGTTGAGGTTTATAGTTTTGCTCTACATATCGATTATACAGTGACAAATTAAAGAGAGAGACAAAACAGGGAGTTCCACGTCCCCACCTCGGCTGAGCACGCAAACAATCTCTAATCAAGCGTAAAATTATTTTGACCCTTACCCTGCAGAAACAATTCTGGATCCTCCCCCTGTTTTAACAGGCCTATTCTTATTATCTTATCATCGCTACAAGCAGCGTCAATGACCAAACTCTATTCATTGTTGTAGAACACAACATTATAATGGCCGTGGGAAAATCTACATACATTTCATTTATGATAGTCTGTTTGATTCTGGGATACTGCTGCTTCATTGCCACAGAATATATTGCGACAGTTGTATTGATAAGTACCGGCATCTATGTTGGATCAAAAGCAATACCGAGAGGGAGTGTCAGCTCAAAAAACAAAGCAGTGTTTATAACGGGGTGCGACACAGGCTTCGGTCACAACCTAGCACTTAGGCTTGATCAACTTGGTTACCTTGTGTATGCAGGATGTCTGCATCCCGGTATGTAGTAAACATACTCTGTGCATAGTATTTACAGTAAGGAGCCACTGGCCTATAGGCATCCGTTAAGCATTGACCTAAAGGCAGGGATGGCGCCAGGATTTGCCCGACGGTGGTCCGATATCCCCAAAGAGAGCAAAGTGGGCGTGGTCGGGCGTCGCTCAAAATCTCTTGAAACTGGTACAGAGGGAGAAGCTCCCGAAAAATATGACAATGTTTAGGGGTTTCATAAGCTTATTTAATCAATTTTACAGTCTACTAATATGTAGAAATACAATTGTGGGTTTTCTTCCCGATGGGGTGGGCCAGCTCTCCCCTGGCCTCTCAAGAAACATTCTGTAAGCCTCAGCAAGAAGCCCATGAAAATGTTTCTTAAATGCCCGAAATGCACTTGCCTGCGTTATGAGAGGAGTTTGGTAATGATTGTGCTTCAGTGGTGGCGCCAGGACCTGCCCGACGGAGGGGCTAAAGACCCCAACGGGGGGGGGGCTAGTGGAGTGAATCGAGCCTCACTTGGCTGGGGGCCGCCTAGGGCCCCCGGTGGGCGTCCAAGGGACGAAGCCTCGAAGCCACAGATGTTTGATGAATTATGGCGAATTTTTATTACTCATTTGATAGGCATCGAGTTACTATAATATGACTTCATGTAGTCTATGCTTTCTAATGTTGAAATCAGCTTCCAAAACCAAAACATTTTGAATAAAGCAAGAAACAAAGCGTATGCGATGTAACCATCTAATTTATTTTCAAATCCTTATTCTTGAAAGTTGAATTCTATATTTTGGAAATTTTGCATGAAATCTGTCAACCACGCTGTCATGGTCGAGGTTGCTTCACCTATCACGGTGTATTCCAACCATCATGAGGCTATCTAAATAGCATTTGTCATAACAGAACGCGGATTATTTTTAATTAGTCTCATTTAATTATTATTATTATTATTATTATTATTATTATTATTATTATTATTATTATTGTTATTGTTATTGTTGTGATGAAAAATTAACACAAACAGTATGGTGGCTAAACGAATATTACATGTAAATATTTTTTTTTTGTTCACCGACAAAATTTATTGTCTTCCCCGAAAGGGGGATTTGCTTCCCCGACGGGGGGGGGAGGGGGCTATAGCCCCCTCTGGCGCCACCACTGCTGTGCTTTGGATTTTAAATTTCAGTGGGTTCATGGCTAAATTATGATGATGAGAAAGATGTTGATAGTTATGATGACGAAAATGGCGATGGTGATAATGGTGACCAGTGGCGTAGCTAGGTGCGAAAGGGCCCCAGTGCAAGATTAATTGCCCAGCCCTTGATGTAATAGAGGAATCTCCTAAAGTTCTCAGAAAATTATTCATAAGAAGTGCTTCTTTCACCTCCTACCCCTAAAGGCATAGGCTAATAAATACTAATAATCGAATTCGTAACTATTTTAAAAGAGGAATATTTGGTCTCGGTTTCAAAACTAATTAAGAAAATTGGTGGCACATACATGTTAACAATTGCAGTGGTGGGTAAGGGAATTCGAAATAGAGGGGTCAGGGAGAAGTTTTCACTGACGGAGGGTTGAGGATAGAAAATTTTTGATTATAGTACCTCTAGATGGTGGGAAAAGGCACTAGGCCTATCAGGCTTGAATATTAATATAGTTTCCTTTTCCCATTTCTTTTACAATTTTGAAAAAATAGGGAGGAGTGGAGGCAGACCGGCTGCATTATTTTTTCCCCATACAGTTAAGGCAGAAATTATAGAGGGCACTATTTAATGTCATTTATGTGAACTGATAACATGAATATGCATGCATAACTTCAGTCGCGAACTGAGCAGTGGTCGCTGCTTGTGGAAGAATATGAAAGCTGCAGCATATGGGTTAGGGTAGCCCAACATCTCTGGTAGTCGGTCTAGTGTAGTCGACACAGTTAAAATTTATGGACTATTGTAATAATAATATTCCCTATGACACTGTTTACGTACACCATGGTCTTTTAAAAGTATAACAAGCAGCACGTTGAATCTGTCGGTTATTTGATTAGTATGTAGTGTAATGATATAGCATACATACTATAGCTGCTAAGACTACTTATTCGCCGATATAAAGGTATTTCTATATTTTCTTATTCAATTCAGTTTCTTTGTTTTATAATAAAATGATTGACTGTAGGCACGATTTTCGATGGAAGGTGGGGTGTTATCATGCAATGTAAGCCTAGGCAGAGGTCTGGGGGATTTTGAGGGCATTTTAATGGATTTTTGGAACCCATAATTTGTGAAAATTCCATTCAAATTTGCAAATATTATCTGTAGGCCTACATTAAGTATAGCTTTTTGTTTATAAGGATCAATTTGCAATCATCAGAGCTGTTCAATTTCCAACAAATATCGCACTAAAGTTATTCAAAATCAACGGTTGGAAGGGATGGCAAATGAAATGCATAGCATTTTGCGATAATTGGGAACCATTTATTGAAATAATATATAAACGTTTAAAAATGCTCTGACAATTCTATGTATTGTTAATGTTGATTTTTCACAAACATTTCGTTCATATGCAATATGAATAAAAGTATATTGCCTAGATTTATAGCAAGCATATATATTATAAACATTAATTTTACTAAAGCTGATACTCTAATACTGACTATATTACGTTTATTAATGGTCTACCCAATAAAAAAATATTAAAAAGCGCATTTAAAGCGATCAAAACAGATGGAAGTGAAACATCGTTTTCACTGATTTACAGACGGTTCTACAAAATTCATAAATTTTACCAGCCAATATGCAGAAGAATATAGCAAATACGCTCACTGTCTGTAATTGACACTGATTTTTTTTTTCTCATAATTTTTTTTTATTGTAAAATTATAACTTAACAACTGCGAAGTAGAATTTGTCTCCTAGAATTTTTAAACGTTTATATCCTTCATATTTATATAGGGGCAGAGACATACAGACAACAAATACAAACAGATACCGGCTACAAACAACACATAGGTCTATAACTATATACTGTACTCAAATAGCCAGATTCAATAATACAGTACTGTGCCTTTTTTTTATACTTTCAAAGACCATGCTGTAGGCTACATAAACTGTGTCTAATCATAGGGATAATTATCATTATAATTATAATCCATTAATTTTCACACTGTCTTGACTACCATGGCCAAAGTCTATTTAAGACATATTGGTCTATCGCCGTAGCATTTACTTGATATACCACTGAACTCAGTTTGCCATAGTTTCGCGAGGAGAGGCCAAGCATGCATATTCATGTTTATCAGAATTTACCAAAAATAGGGCCCTCCATAATTTCTGCCCTAAATGTATGGGAAAAAATAATGCTAAAGGCACTGCCCGTAGCTACGCCACTAGCGGTGACTTTGAATATAAAGAAAACTAAAATTATAAGGTCAACACTGACTCTAAAACGGTTAATTGCGTCGTGTTTAAAGACCCTTTTTAAAGAAAAGTAGAAGAGTGGTTTACCAATAGAACAAAAACTAAATTTGCCCAAACATGCTCAAAAAACCACTAATCTAAATAATCCTCACAGTTTACGTATGAATACTTCTGGCAAACTCAATATTCCTTTTACTCGTCTACGAAGCTCTGACTTTTTCATTACTTTTATATTTTTATTATTTATTATTTTTATTTCATTCATTTAAAAACCAACAGCGATGAAAACAGCCACTGACAAGTTTAATAAACAATCTATATAAATACAGTCTCAGGTCCTTGTGGAAAAATCTTGACATTAAGCTTAAAAAAGCTTTTGTCTTTCGTCCTTTCGCAGGAAGCTCAGGTTTCACTACATATCATTTTATTCAAGTGCGTCATAACAGTAGTTTAAAATATTTTAATTTATTGGTTGCATAATCGTTTTCTTTTTTATTTCTTTTTTCATTTATATATGTTATTCATTAAGTTTTTATTTATCTATTCTAATTTAATTTTCTTTTTAGGTAGGCCTATATGTTTTGCATTCTTATTAATTGTGTATTATTATTTATATTTTCTTTTGTTTCTTTAAAGGTCGAATATGACAAGAAATGTTTTTTTTTCTTTCTTGTTTTAATCTTTTTTACGGTATTCTATTATTATTCTTCTTTATTGTTAATTTCTATAATATTACCGTCAAGCAAAAAATCTGATTTTTTGCACATCGAACTCGAGGTGGATTTGGTGGGTGACAAGCGGTTTACACCATTCTTATTTTTCACCAAAAAATTCCAAGTTTGCCGACTGTTAAGAGTAATTGTATGACTTTTTTTCAAACATTATTTTCACAGGAGAACAATTGAATCTCTTGTTATTCCAGAGAATAAGAACGCAAGGATACTACAAACTTCATCAAAGAGCAAGAAATTAACAATAGTTGCATGTGATGTTACTTCTGATGAATCTGTTTTAGCTGCAAAAGAGAAAGTGCAGAAATCACTTCCTTCTGGATTCAGTGAGTGAATAACAAAAAAAAAAAAAAAAAAAAAAAAAAAAAATAAAACGATAAAAAATGATTAGTTTTAATGAGATAAAAAAAAAAAACAATAATAAAACGATAAAATATGATTAGTTTTAATGAGATATAGTTAAAATATTTAGAATAGAGGACTGATGGTAGGATTATAACAGCTTAAATATACGAAAACCTCCTTGGGTGGTTGTGAGACATGAGGGTAATTCTGGTTATTAAAACCGTGCTTCACTGCTCACGATCGTCAACAGATTTGATTCTATGGAAAAAACAATGCCACAACTCAAAAGCCCAACGGATCGTTTTTAATGACGATCCGTTCAGACTGCCACCGACATTCAGCAGACGGCGTCACGCGTGCTAGCGCGCACGGGGAGCTGCGTTGGATTCTCCATATGTCTGTCGTACGACGCAGTGAGTATTTCCATTGCTCCTCCTTAGTTAATGACACCCTGGTGGTACATTATTGTGATCACATTGGGTTATTTTCTTATTTTAGTTTTGTGGGCGATAGTTAATAATGCTGGTATCTGGTCATACTCGGAAATCGAGATCGTGTCCCTGGAAGCATTCAAACGTCTTGCAGAGGTTAATGTCTACGGCACGGTTAGAATCACTAAAGCATTTTTACCGATGTTGCGCCGATATAAAGGTATTTCTATATTTTCTTATTCAATTCAGTTTCTTTGTTTTATAATAAAATGATTGACTGTAGGCACGATTTTCGATGGAAGGTGGGGTGTTATCATGCAATGTAAGCCTAGGCAGAGGTCTGGGGGATTTTGAGGGCATTTTAATGGATTTTTGGAACCCATAATTTGTGAAAATTGCATTCAAATTTGCAAATATTATCTGTAGGCCTACATTAAGAATAGCTTTTTGTTTATAAGGATCAATTTGCAATCATCAGAGCTGTTCAATTTCCAACAAATATCGCACTAAAGTTATTCAAAATCAACGGTAGGAAGGGATGGCCTGTCTCTTATACACATCTAGATGTGTATAAGAGACAGACTTCATGTAGTCTATGCTTTCTAATGTTGAAATCTGCTTCCAAAACCAAAACATTTTGAATAAAGCAAAAAACAAAGAGGGTGAGATGTGTATAAGAGACAGATTCTAGGTTGATGTCATTATTATTATTATCATCATCATCTTCTTTATTGTCATCCCCATCCTCATTATATTCCCCATTATAAGAAGCATGTTGATGATGATGATGAGGAGGAGAAGAAAGATGATGAGGATGATGGTGAGGAAGAAGATGGTGGTGATTATGATTGATGATAATGGTTGTTGATGATAATGGTTGTGATGATGGTGATGAGAATGATAGAAAATGATTGATGAGAATGATGAATGATGAAAATCATCCCTCTCATCCTCACCCTTGTCCTTATCTTCATTCTCGTCGTCCTCATCTTCATCATCCTCATGATGATGATGGTGACTGATGATGAAGGGGATAATGATGAAAATGATGCTGATAAGGATGGTGAGGATAATGATGATAATGAGAAGGATTCGGATGATGATGAAAATAAGGATGATGATGATTATTATTGATGATAATGGTCGTTGATGAGGGTGATCGTGATAATGATGAGGATGATTGATGAGAATGATGTTGATGAAGTTAATGATGACGAATGATGAGAACATCCCCTCTGCCCCTTAACCTCATCTTCATTCTTGTCGTCCTCATCCTCTTCATTATCATCCTCATGATGAGGATGATGATTGATAATGATTAATAAGGATGATGATGTGGTTGATGATGAGGACAAGGATAATGATGGATGATGATGATAGATGATGATTGTAATGAGGATGATGATGAGGATGATAATGACATTGATGATGATAATGAGGACTATGATGATGAATGAGTGATGATGGTAAGTAGGATAAGGATGAGGTTGGTGATGGTGAGGATAAGAATGATGATGGATGAGGATGATTAGTAGGATGAAGGTGATGGTGATGATGTTAACAATGATAGGTGAGGATGGTGATGAGGGTGATCAATTTTCAAACGGTGTGGGACAATATCAGAGTGGACCCACTTTACGTGTAAATTCAAACAATGTGGACCCATTTTACGCAAAAATGTTAAATATCTGGACCCATTTTCTTAAATTTTACCCATATTTAACTAAATATTAGGAATCTGGATCCATTTTATGCATAAAATTACATAATTTGGACCCATTTTTAAAACGTGGACCCATTTTTTGTGGACCTATTGGAAAAGGTGTGGGACTGTCCCACTGTGCCAATAGCTGGCTATGCCATTGATGATGATGAGGATGATGGATGAGGATGAATAGGATGATGAGGATGATGATGAAGAAAAGATGATGATGGTGATGATTACAACGATCGATGATAGTAAGGATGATTATGATGATTAGACAACAATGAAAATGATGATGACGATGAGGAATAGGATGAGGATGATGATGACGGATGATGATAATACTGTAATGATATCAATAGTGGTAATAAAAATATTATAAATAATATTATTATAAAAGAGTACTAAGAATGTAATTCATTCTAATATTAAAATATAATTTTGAAATAACAGAAATACAATACAGTAATAATATATACATAATATTATTAATGATTTAAACAATAATAAATAAGCATAATACCACTATTAAAATAATAATATTTATATATATGCTATATGTGTACATTGCTTTGATGAGATTGTAATTTGTACTTTGAGAACAATAGTAATAATAATAATAATAATAATAATAATATAATAAATCTTACAAAATTAACCATTTTCTTCAAAAACGAGCACTTCGTATTTTATGTTGGCCAAATATTTATCACTATAGTAAATTACTGGATATTTTAGGAATTGATTCGCTGGAAGATCGTAGGAAGAATCTATGTGTTTGATTTGCTAAGAGCCTTTTACATTCCGATAGACATAGGGACTTTTTGCCTGAAGTTAGAGTTCCTAATTACAACCTGAGAAGCTCCACTAAATTTATTGTGCCAAATTCTAGAACCGAACGCTATAGAAAGTCTCCTATCCCATTTTTTATAAATTTATTAAATGAATGACTTTTGCAATGAAACTCTTCTTACTGACCTTTTTAGCCTACGAGTCCAATAGTTCTTGTTGTTTCTACTTCTGATTTATTTTATTTTGAATAATTTTGAATAATTTTTCCGTATTTATTGTCTTAGTTTTTGTAATTTTGTACTTTATTCCTAACTTGTGCAATCTCATTTATTCTTAAACGAAATTTAAAATGATTAAATCAGTATTTAATCAGTATCAGTTGTAATGATAATGAAAAAATAGTTAATTGTATAGTTGAATAAATTATTTTTCTTGTAGCTTAATGAATGAATTTTAATTTAATTAATTTTATTGTCTTTCCATTTTATCCCGTAAATTTTATATATTGTAAATTCTTATATTGTAATTTTGTAATATATGTTTTTTGTAATGCAACCTATTTCAGCTCTTGCTGCCAGTTTGTATTTTTATATTTTATACCGAAATAAATAAAATAAATAAAAAAGATGAACGCCATCTTGGAAATTGGCATTATGATCATTTCAATTAAATTTTATAAAGACAGTAAAGAGTAACTAGTTAACTAAGTTTATTGTCAATTTTCACATTTATAGCAAAACTAGAGATGAATAATATAATGCCATAGTTTTTTTAATTTACCTCGATCCGAGTCCAGAAATTGAATTGTTAGGTCTTTCAGAGCAAAATTTCGCTATTTCTTTTTCCAGTGAGTTTATATTCTGATAGTTTATTATTATTATTATTATTATTATTATTATTATTATTATTATTATTATTATTATTATTATATATGTATTCATACTTTTATTCCACTACAAATTTCTTAGACGTTTGTTACACTAGTCTAAATGTGTCAAAATTACGTCAATTAAGGTGTTCACCTAATAAATTGAACATGAAGGTGCAGGGCAAGAACAATTTCTTCATTGAATTTCAGGTAGGCTGATATTATTCTGTGAGTGCCAATTCCATAGTGCGCCTAAGATGGCGCCAGCAGGGGGGGGGGACATATAAAAATAGGCCCACACCAAGCCAACACATGTCTGTCACAGTCTAAGAGTGCCATTTTCGGCCATCCAGAGGTTGTTATTCTTTAAAAAAAAATCTCATTTGGGAGGGGGCGCCCCCTCTCATCCCCTTCCTCCGGCTCGAGCCTACGGGCTCAAGTCCCCCCTTNNNGCAGCCCCCCCCCCCCAGAAAATATATCCTAGAGCCGCCACTGCTTGGGAGCCCTGGTCTAGACTCACCATCTGCGAAATTCCCTGGATCCGCAACTGTATTAGGTGGCATGGTAGAATAACCGAATTAGTTGACTTCTGAATCGCAAGCCACTCTCAAGTGTCATAATTTGCTAGTTGCCAATTCCATAGTGGGCCTGAGATGGTCTAGACTCACCATCTGTGAAATTCCCTGGATCCGCCACTGTATTAGGTGGCATGGTAGAATAACCGAATTAGTTGACTTCTGAATCGCAAGCCACTCTCAAGTATCATCGCTAGTTTAGCATAAAAAAACATGACTATTCATTCAAGTTACTAAGATGTCTTGACGATTAAGAATTAATGCCGGTGTTTTTTAGGCTGCAAATATTTTGGTAGGAATAATAAATATATAGAACTTGTTTGGATCTAGTTGGCTGGGTCGTGGTCCATGTTTGGGCCCCTAGGTTTCGCCACTCAATGAGAAAAATACAAATTTTATCCTCATAATTAAGGTAATACAAACCTAGGTTCCAGTATTTGTTTCTGAGGTTATCGTCTAACAACATTGCAAGAGAGTGGTTTACCGAACCAAACCACGCACCCATTACTAAATCCTAGGTATGGAGAGGTAGGCCTAAAAACCACAGGACCATTTAAACAAAAAAAGACTTTGTGGTAGTTTATTCATGTAATTTAATTCACAGTTCCACAGACATTAGTAGCATTTACATACTTTTACAATGTTTTACAGACATTAAAATGTTATTCAATTAAAAATTTAGTTCATTTTAGTTGTTTTAATATCAATTGAAATGTTAAAATTATTTGCTATATTTACATAATGTAATAATTAGAAAATATTGTGCGTCAATGCGTAAAGACCACATAACACTTGCATGAACTGCGCTGGCTTAACTGTCACCTTTAAGATCTTGCTGCTCACTTATACGTTTCGCCATGGCCTCCATAATAATGATTATTATAATAATAATGATGACAATGGAAATAATATACTGTATAATTGTTGCAATTCAAAACGCTTCAAACACAGTAAATTACAAATAATAAGGATAAATGTACAAACACTATGAAACATCTAATACCACACACTGTATATTGACACTTATGCTCATTACATTGCTACAATAGAACAGACGATTCGAAGGACCTTAACAGAAAACGAGCTTTCGAAAATTTGGGAAAGTCTAGTGAGCACGAATCACGGGAAGATTGATGAGAAAACAAACTTCTCTCGACCAAATGATCGAGGGGATAATTCTATAGAGTAATATATATATATATAATATTTGAACATCATTATTATGTTAAATATAGTGTATAGTCTGGTATTTGATTGTTTGTAGGTAGTTGCTCAGAAAATTAGTAGTTGATTGGATTTATAAAATTGTCCCCTCGATCATAGCCGAGAGAAACTTCGGTCTGTGTTAGTTATGTGGTTTTCTGAATACCCCGGTTCAAACCTGGCTGGCATCGGGTTCCAGTTTTAATTGGAGTCAGATCTCTTGGCTCGTCTAATAACACTCTAGGCCTATTGAGAGTTAAATGGGTTAAAGACAATTATCCGTATCTGTCGGGTGGTGGCGCTCCACCGTGGCTTAGAAAATGTGTTAACGGTCTGTATCTCATTGCCATTAGTTTACAGCATAAGCCTGCTGTACATTAACGGTAGGCTAGACAAACTGAAAATATTGCGAACAAGGGATTTTCATAATATATTGAACACATATGATGAGGAGATACGCCCTTTTTTATTTGAAACTTTACATTTAGCCATAGGCTAGGCTATAATCTGAACATATTGCAAATAAGGGTTTTTCTTTTTTTGCCTCATGGTGTTTTCGGTGTCCAGCATGCAGAACTAACCGAAATAGAAATTCGTTCGTGCCCGTTGCCATTCGACTTTTAAGATGTAATGCATTTTAAGCTTTGTAATCCAGATTCTTTTGAATTTTATTGTATTTTGACGTAATGTTTTTTAATCTGTTTAGCTTGTAATCCAGACCCTTTTATTGAATTGCCCCATGTGGGATGAATAAAGATATATTGTATTGTATTATATTTATGAATGAACACAAATGATGAAAGGATAAAATTGTAGAAATCACACTGTGGTCAGATATCCGGTCATATATGTCTTTTTTTTGTGCATATTTAAGCTAATTTGCATATGAACAGGATATCTGACCACATTGTGATTTTAGCAATCTTATTCTCTCATCATTTGCATTCAATTGTAAATGAAAATCCATTGTTTGCAATATGTTCAGATGACCTAGTCTACGATTTAAAGTAGTTTTTCAAATAAAAAGGGGGCGTGGCCCTATTTTTGCATTTTAAGCTAATTTTCAAATGAAGAAATCATGTGACCATGGTGTGATTTCTTCAATTTTATCCCCTCATTACATATGTTCATTTATAAAAAAAAAACCCTTGTTTGCAATATGTTCAGATAGCCTACTATTTAAAGTAGTGATATTAAAGAAGAAAGTGGCGTAACCCTTATTTTTTTGGGCATATTTAAGCTAATTTGCATATGAATAGGATGTCGGACCACAGTGTGATTTCTGCAAGTTTATCCCCTCATCATATGTGTTCATTTATAAATTAAAAACCCCTAATCGCAAAATGTTCATTTGGCCTAGCCTACAGCTAAATGTAGTGCCTCAAATAAAAAAAGGGACTTAAGCTTATTTGCATATAGACAGGACATTTGACCTCAGTGTGATTTACAAAATTGTATCCCCTCATCTTACGTGTTTATTAAATTAAGAAATATCCTTGTTTGCAATATGTTCAATTTGTTTAGCCTACTGTTAATGTAACACTTCTAATAAAAATGGGAGCGTGTCCCCTATTTTGCATACTTAAACTAATTCCATAGGAACGGGATTTGTGATGAAGGTGAAGTTTCTGAAATTTGATCTCCTCATATTATGAAAGAAGAAACCTTTTTTTGCAATATGTTCATATATTTAGCCTACTATTTAAAGTCGCGTTTCCAATGAAAAATGGGGCGTGGCCATTTTAAAAGGATGTTGTCATTTTTGGGCTGCTCGTTCCGGATACAGATTCTGACACACATCCCATATTCATATTAGTCTATATCTGTTGAGATAATCTCTCTTAAATGAAGTGCTTACAAATCTTAGTCAGGTCCTATACTATTTATAATAAAGCATACCGCAAGACTGTTTAAATATTGTCTTTTGTCGCATCTCTTAGAATTTAGACTTAGCGATTCCAATTCTTTTTTTTTGCTACTGTACTATCATTTCAATTATTATCAAGTGTGATGAAGTAATTAAATTATGTTAAATATAATTTAGATCATTTGATAAGTGGCACATTCGTCATCCTCATGCGTGTTTACATTGAACTTTGTTTGTATCAATTGACATTCAAAATGCAATTCGGCATGTTTGATGCAATTAAACGATGTACACCCAGTATGTTCCCAGCATGCACGAGCGCATCTGACTCTGTCTCTTATACACATCTAGATGTGTATAAGAGACAGGTGGTCACACTGCACAACAGAAAGTACACACGACAAGAATGGTTGTTGCCACATCAAGGTATGGATAATTTCTCCCAGGGGTGAAGAATTTTTCAGAGTTGAGAATCTCCCAAAGAAGGGCGACAAACTTATCCTCCAAATCCAAGCGTGGAAATTTGAATTTTTTTGGCAGGATAAATTTAGGGTCCAATTTTCTGGAAATGAAGAGACAATCTCTTGCCACGATTCTCACAAGACACATACCATGTCTCGTCTCGCGCAAAAATATGAAGCAAATATCATAGCTTGTACAACATGATTAGAGAGGTCGTTTGTGAAGCCATTTTCTAAGCTGGTCCCTGTTGGCCACACGATGTCCTATCTGTTCCGTTACTATTCCAATTCTGTAACCAATCACGTTCCACTATTTCTTTGTAAGGAGCTAGAGTTTCATTGCAAAATGCTATTTCTCAGATGATCCCTTTACAGAAGTTTCCAGCTGCTGTTGCCAAAGCCTTTAAGCTACGTTCACATCAAGCCCGGATTCCGGTCCGGAGTCCGAAGAAAAAATCGTGAAAAATGAGTTCAGTGGTAAATAATAGGACCGTTCACATCATACGATTTCCAATCCAGACTCCGGATCCAGACTCCGGATCCAGACTGATGGGTCTGAGAGCCATTTGTATCCTGAAATATGAATAAAGATATATAATATTGTATTATATTTATGAATGAACACAAATGATGAAAGGATAAAATTGCAGAAATCACACTGTGGTCAGATATCCTGTCATATATGTCTTTTTTTGTTTGCATATTTAAGCTAATTTGCATATGAACAGGTTATCTGACCACATTGTGATTTTAGCAATCTTATCCTCTCATCATTTGCTTTCAATTGTAAATGAAAATCCATTGTTTGCAATATGTTCAGATGACCTAGTCTACGATTTAAAGTAGTTTTTCAAATAAAAAGGGGGCGTGGCCCTATTTTTGCATTTTAAGCTAATTTTCAAATAAAGAAATCATGTGACCATGGTGTGATTTCTTCAATTTTATCCCCTCATTACATATGTTCATTTATAAAAAAAACCCCTTGTTTGCAATATGTTCAGATAGCCTACTATTTAAAGTAGTGCTATTAAAGAAGAAAGTGGCGTAACCCTTATTTTTCTGGGCATATTTAAGCTAATTTGCATATGAATAGGATATCGGACCACAGTGTGATTTCTGCAAGTTTATCCCCTCATCATATGTGTTCATTTATAAATTAAAAACCCCTAATCGCAAAATGTTCATTTGGCCTAGCCTACGGCTAAATGTAGTGCCTCAAATAAAAAAAAAGGACTTGAGCTTATTTGCATATAGACAGGACATTTGACCTCAGTGTGATTTCCAAAATTGTATCCCCTCATCTTACGTGTTCATTAAATTAAGAAATATCCTTGTTTGCAGTATGTTCAATTTGTTTAGCCTACCGTTAATGTAACACTTCTAATAAAAATGGGAGCGTGTCCCCTATTTTGCATATTTAAGCTAATTCTATAGGAACGGGATTTGTGATTAAGGTGAAGTTTCTGAACTTTGATCTCCTCATATTATGAAAGAAGAAACCTTTTTTTTGCAATATGTTCATATATTTAGCCTACTATTTAAAGTCGCGTTTCCAATGAAAAATGAGGGCGTGCCCATTTTAAAAGGATGTTGTCATTTTTGGGCTGCTCGTTCCGGATACAGATTCTGATACACATCCCATGTTCATATTAGTCTATATCAGTTGAGATAATCTCTCCTAAATGAAGTGCTTACAAATCTTAGTCAGGTCCTATACTATTTATAATAAAGCATACCGCAAGACTGTTTAAATATTGTCTTTTGTCGCATCTCTTAGAATTTAGACTTAGCGATTCCAATTCGTTTTTTTTGCTACTGTACTATCATTTCAATTATTATCAAGTGTGATGAAGTAATTAAATTATGTTAAATATAATTTAGATCATTTGATAAGTGGCACATTCGTCATCCTCATGCGTGTTTACATTGAACTTTGTTTGTATCAATTGACATTCAAAATGCAATTCGGCATGTTTGATGCAATTAAACGACGAACACCCAGTATGTTGTAAATGTAGTGTAATGCATGCAACACGGACCATTTTCTTATTTAAAAAAAAATATTGAATATTTCAGTAATTTAAACAGTTGACGTAATTTAAGGGTGAAAGGACAAGATTCCTAATCAACTGCATTAGTATCGAAGTAAGCATACCCTACGCTTAAAATATTGCTACTGTACCAATGAAATTGACTTTTTAATTTTTAAATAATTTTTTCCTTTTTTATATAACATTAAAATCCATATTTTTCTAGGGTTTTTAGTTATTAATACAATTATATTAAAAAAAATAATTCTCTTATAATGTTTAATGATGTTCAACATACTTTGTTGTAGACCAGCTTTCACGTTTCTCTCTTTCCCGTTCAAATTTGGGGCCGTTGTTTAGAGCCGCATAATTGATTCGTTGTTTCTTTCTTGTATTCATTTGCAAAACAAAATACTGAATGAAAATCTGTATTTTCATTCAGTATATGACAAAATTCGGCCCAATGTCAGCGAAGCTACTGCAAAAAAACTTCGGGCGATTTGCCAGATTTCTACAAAAATCGTAGGTTTCACGCAGTAAAATTTCAAAAACTATCGTTACAAAATTAAAAAGTCCGACGAGATTTGGCAACCTTATAAATTAAAATTAAGACTAATAAAACTATTATTAAATTTCGAATAAAATAAAAGAACAATGGCGAAAATCGGACGAGTAGAAGTGAAGTTATGAAGGAAAATGTGAGAAAAAATAGCGAAAAAAGCGGAAAATCGAACGTTTCGAGTAAAATTAAATGAATTAGCGGCGATTAAACTTATCCTAATGCTGATACACATCCCATGTTCATATTAGTCTATATCAGTTGAGATAATCTCTCCTAAATGAAGTGCTTACAAATCTTAGTCAGGTCCTATACTATTTATAATAAAGCATACCGCAAGACTGTTTAAATATTGTCTTTTGTCGCATCTCTTAGAATTTAGACTTAGCGATTCCAATTCTTTTTTTTTTGCTACTGTACTATCATTTCAATTATTATCAAGTGTGATGAAGTAATTAAATTATGTTAAATATAATTTAGATCATTTGATAAGTGGCACATTCGTCATCCTCATGCGTGTTTACATTGAACTTTGTTTGTATCAATTGACATTCAAAATGCAATTCGGCATGTTTGATGCAATTAAACGACGAACACCCAGTATGTTCCCAGCATGCACGAGCGCATCTGACTCGGGATTGCGTCCACATTGAGAATGGTACAACGTCATTCGAGCAGCCATCATTTATCCTGAATAAAATGCCAAACATTGCAGCTGGAAAAAGATAAATTTGTTTGTTGGTAAATATGTGGAAACTTATAAATACAAAACAAATTTAACAAAAGCAGTCATTCTATAATGTGCATACCCCCATGCTGTGCCAGAACACAGTACTAACAATACACAGGCCATATATGATCGGTGAAACTGCAGCAAACCTTCAATTTAATAATTGAATCACCAGTCGTATTCAGGTACATTATGTTCTTAAGTGCAGCAGCCTACCCTCAAGAAGATAATGGAATTGCCTGCAGTATTTAGTATTTTTTGAGTGCTGCATGATTCTAATATTTTCCTTTATGCTCGAGGGTAAGAAATGAAATCTACGTGACTTTGACCTTGTACTTTGACCTTTTATTTTGAAAATTAAAAGGTGTCTTTCTTAGACTATTATATACTATTTCACTAAATTTTATGATGATCTATTCAATGTTTTTCTTAATCTTGCTAACCTAAAGAAAGGCAGACAGCAGTATACATGACTAATATTTTTAAGTGGTCCTCATATTCACACCCTACTTTGGAACCTCACTAAAATTAATTCTTTGTTTATTGGACAATTATAATACATACTATAAAGTTTCCTTTAGGTCCATTAATATGTTTTTCGAGATATTTATGTTCGAGTCCTTTAAATGACCCTCGCATGCGGATTGTCACAAACATTTAATATTTCCTACTTGTAACGTGGTCAAACTTTCCAGTTTTCATTTAAATCGGTAGATCGGTTTTTGGTAAATCTGGCCTGGGACATTTGCCATTGAATGGTCTTTATATCCACATCCTACTTCGGATCGTCACCAAAAATGAATAATTTCTCTGTTCGACAATGGCAGACTGTTTTTGAAAGTTTTATTTAGATCCATTAATAACTTTTTTGAGATATTTAGATCTGAGACGTTAGCACTTTAAATGACCCTCAAATCCATACCCGAATCTGGATCGTTACTAAAATTGAATAATTTCTTCTTTGTAACTTGGTTAAACTTTCCTAAAAAAAATCATTCAGATCAATGGATACATTTTGGCATATGGTCTGAGATGTTTTCATTTGAATGGTCCTCATAATGCTTGGGGAAACATAATAATTTTGAATATTTATTTTAATGAATAATTATTTTTCTTTGCATTTTTTATATAGAAGAAGGCTCTACCAACCATCTATCTCACATGAAGTGCGCACGTAAGGTTTGTGGGTGTGACAGCCAGGCGGCGTTATGCTTCAAAACTTTGTCCTACGACTCAAAATTTCTTGACCACGATCGAAATGTTTGTAAAGCTGAGTAACAGCACAGTTAAATATGCGAGTGGGCCTAGTGATTATGTGTATCATGAAACTTGTATCTGTGACGTCTTGTCTTAATGCAAGGAAATACCATTACGTTACGTTGTTTACACTTCCTCGGCACGCTCCATATACGGCAAATAGTTAAAAACAGTTAATTGTCTCCTTGTTGATCTAACCCTTCAAAATGTGAGCACTTCCAGATCTTTTGTAATGGAATATTGTAGTCGACTTTGACAAGTTGTTGATGAAAACTATGCACTGTAGGTTGTTATATAAATAAAGTAGATTTTTTCGTCGATTGTGATCTTGATTTTAACCGAAAGGTCCAGTGATTAATCTCAGATAAAATAGTATAAAATACATACTCCAAGTATCGAAATGCACACCATAGTGTCGGGATTCAATATTTTTTAGATTGTTTGTCATGAAAAATTGTTACCAGGTTTGATAAATTTCGGATAAACCTTGTTGGCCGTATAATGATATATATATATATAAAAAGATACATAAAAATTGGAGTTTTCGCCGATTGTGACCTCGACTTTTGACTCTTTAAAATTTAATCACCACCAGATCTTTGGTCATGGATCACACTGTGTCCAAGTTTGACGAGCTTTTGATAAAAACTGTGGCATGTAAAAAAAAATAACAGGGGCGAAAACTTAACATCCTTGGCGATGGTAATGCCCTTTTTTGGCGGAAGTAATAATGACAGCAACAACGTTAACGGTTATAATGACAGCAACAACATCAACGGTAATAATAACAATGACAGTGAAATAACAATTACGAGAACACTGATACCTTTTTCACAGATGGCAAATGCGTATGGCCAATAGCATGTAATGTCTATCCAGCCCTCGGGTACTGTAATAGTGCATTCTTCATGCGAATTGTATCCCATTCCATTGGGTTCGCCAGCATTCCAGACTTGATGGAATAAAATAAACTTATTTATATGTAAAATGTAAAAGTGGCTAATTTATTCATATCAAATGAAACGATATAAATTTTAAAATGCAAAAAATAAAACACGTGGAACAATTAGGCCTGCGTTGTAAGTTGAATGTTAAAATGCCTTTCCAAACCAAATATTGTAAAACAACAGTGTGTTTACTCACAAGAATATACAGGTGTAGATCGAGGGTTTTCGATAGAAGGGGAACCAATCTCAGAATAGAGAAGAGTGAGGGCGCTATATATCGTGAAACTGTGGCAAAAGGAATAATACTTTGCTTAATAGATACGGTACCCAACAAGTTTAGGTTTTCTTTATGATATCGAGGTCTACTATTGAACAATATTGCAATTCCAATACTGTCTCTTATACACATCTTGTATCATGAAACTTGTATCTGTGACGTCTTGTCTTAATGCAAGGAAATACCATTACGTTATTTACACTTCCGTAAGCATATACGGCAAACAGTTAAAAACAGTTAATTGTCTCCTTGTTGATCTAACCCTTCAAAATGTGGGCACTTCCAGATCTTTTGTAATGGAATATTGTAGTCGACTTTGACAAGTTGTTGATGAAAACTATGCACTGTAGGCTGTTATATAAATAAAGTAGATTTTTTCGTCGATTGTGATCTTGATTTTAACCGAAAGGTCCAGTGATTAATCTCAGATAAAATAGTATAAAATACATACTCCAAGTATCGAAATGCACGCCATAGTGTCGGGATTCAATATTTTTTAGATTGTTTGTCATGAAAAATTGTTACCAGGTTTGACAATTTTCGGATAAACCTTGTTGGTATATATATATAAAAAGATACATAAAAATTGGAGTTTTCGCCGATTGTGACCTCGACTTTTGACTCTTTAAAATTTAATCACCACCAGATCTTTGGTCATGGATCACACTGTGTCCAAGTTTGACGAGCTTTTAAAAAAACTGTGGCATGTAAAAAAAAAAATAAACAGGGGCGAAAACTTAACATCCTTGGCGATGGTAATGCCCTTTTTTTCGGCGGAAGTAATAATGACAGTAACAACGTTAACGGTTATAATGACAGCAACAACATCAACGGTAATAATAACAATGACAGTGAAATAACAATTACAAGAACACTGATACCTTTTTCACAGATGGCAAATGCGTATGGCCAATAGCATGTAATGTCTATCCAGCCCTCGGGTACTGTAATAGTGCATTCTTCATGCGAATTGTATCCCATTCCATTGGGTTCGCCAGCATTCCAGACTTGATGGAATAAAATAAACTTATTATTATTATTATTATTATTATTATTATTATTATTATTATTATTATTATTATTATTATTATTATTATCATTATAATTACAATCGTTTTCATAATAATTATCATTATCGTTATCATTATCACCATCTTCATCATTATCGTCATCCTCATCACTATGATTATCAGTTTCGTCATCATTATCATAATCATTGCCATTACCTATTACCTATTATAAATCAGTGGTAACGTCATCACATTTATTTGCACTGAATTTTTCTATTCTTGACTGATCACTATTTATCGATATAGTGCCTCCGATATTTGACGCTTAGTGTGCAAAAAAAACAAAAAAACTCAAACCTGGGGTGATTTTACTACAGTCAAATAGTATGAGATAGAGCAGCTTCGCGGCGGCACTATATCTTTCTAATACAACTCTTAGGTTCGTTTGATTTTTCTATTTTCCCCACTCTCTAACATGAATGAAGAATGGGCCTTATGTGTGTATCATAAAAAATTGAGTAATTGCATATGTATTCTTATTACATGAATCAATAAATCCCAAAATGAAAGGGAGGGGGAGGGGGTGTGTTCCGGAGTCCTCCAGAAAAGTCTCGATTTCTAGATGGCGGGAATGAGCTTTCCCGATTTGTGAAATGTCTTCTGGATTTTAAGTTCTTCAAATTTCAAGATTTCCCTAGATTGGGTTCCAGTCCCTAAACTTTTTTCTTAATCAAGTAAAATGCTTAAGAATAAATCGATTTTGGCACCAATGGCGTTCCATATTACTTATTTGCATGGCGTTCCATAGTATAATTTTTCTGGGATTTTTCTAATTCGCATCAAAAAGTTTCTCGACATAAACTGACGCTGGTGGCGCTTTCCGAAATGTGCTAATACTGTACTACGAAAAACTCAATAAATTAGAGACTTGTGGCATGTCTAGATTTTCCCCTCTTGAAAACTGTCACACGTAAATTTTTCACATTCTTTATGTGTGTATACATACATACATACAAAAAAGTAGTTGAATACGTATTCTATTTACCATGAACCGATAAACCCCCCCCCCCAAAAGGGGGGGGGGTCCCCGGGGCTCTCTCCCCTGGAAAATGTTGATTCCTAGATGGCGGGAAATGAGCTTTCCCGACTTCTGAGGTGCCTATTAATGACTTTCAAGTACTTCAAAATTCAAGGTTTTCCTCTTCTTGAAAACGATTCCATGAATCAATGAACCTCAAAGAGAAATGCGTGTTCGGGTTCTCGCCGGGAAAATGTTGATTTCTAAATGGGAGAAATGGGCTTTCCCGACTTCTGAAGTGACTTTTGAGTTTTTTTTTTAATTCAAGGTTCCCCCCTTGAAAACGGTATTGTAAAAAAAAAAATAAGCTCACGTGTTATAAAAAGTTAGGTTATTTTTATTTATTTTTTGTCCAAGGGAGGGGGAGGGGGTTCAGGACGCCTGATTCCCCAAGATCCGCTAATGTGAATTGCGAGGAAATCTAACTCGGTTTGGGACTGGATATAACGTTTCCCTCTCTTTCCCTTCCCTCCCCTCCTTCTTCCCTCTTTATTTTCCGTGCATTTTTTCCGATCATACAAAAATCTCCATAGACATTATATATTTTCTGCCAAAAAGTTGGGGGGGGGGGTAGCGGGCCCCGTTGGAGGGGGTCAGGACACCTGAATTCCCAAGATCCGCCAATGTGAATTGTGAGGAAATCTAACTCGGTTTGGGACTGGATATAACTTTTCTCTCTCTTTCCTTTCCCTCCCCTCCTTCTTCCCTCTTCCTTTTCCTTGCATTTTTTCCGATCATACAAAAATCTCCATAGCCCCTTTCCCCTGGTTCGCCGGCCATGTAATAATAGCCTTTCGTTTGTTGTATAGGTATATACGTTGTTTTTTTTAACCATTCTGAATAAATACATACAAACATACCATATATAATATTTTCGTTTTTACTGTATATTATTGTAATGTTTTTGCTGTCAAATGGACATGGAGTGAGAAAAAACCCATTATTTTCTTCAGAAATGCCTTCAGCCCTCTGTGGGCTTCAGTCAATATTTCCTTCTGCTTCTACATCCAATAGTGTACTCAAAACCTATAATTGCTTACCGGTATAACCTATTACAATATTATTATTACCTATTACCATATTATTATTATTTTTATTATTATTATTATATGTAAAATGTAAAAGTGGCTAATTTATTCATATCAAATGAAACGATATAAATTTTAAAATGCAAAAAATAAAACACGTGGAACAATTAGGCCTGCCTTGAATGTTAAAATGCCTTTCCAAACCAAATATTGTAAAACGACAGTGTGTTTACTCACAAGAATATACAGGTGTAGATCGAGGGTTTTCGATAGAAGGGGAACCAATCTCAGAATAGAGAAGAGTGAGGGCGCTATATATCGTGAAACTGTGGCAAAAGGAATAATACTTTGCTTAATAGATACGGTACCCAACAAGTTTAGGTTTTATTTATGATATCGAGGTCTACTATTGAACAATATTGCAATTCCAATATTTGCAATAGTTCTACTATACTCGTGTTTAAAGGTGAGAGTTTCTGGATATCGGGCATTAATGACAAGATATTCCAAAACATTAAGGTCACTTAAATTATGTAAGCATTTTACAACAAAAATAATGCTATGGAATTTCATTCTTTGAACCATTTCAGGTATATGTTAAGGATTTTCAGCCTGTTTGAAAAATCACCTTTAACGCATAACCTAGTAATACATCTCGATGACTTGTTAATAGGCTATTTTATGCTGTTTTGTTGTGGATTCCACCGTATTCGATAATGGGCAACGAAGAGCATTAAAAAGTCTAAGTAAAATTTCAGTATCGTTAAAACTAACAGACCGTTTGATAAACCCTAACATTTTCATTGATTTCATAGATACATTACCAACATGGGTTGTCCAGGTTAGGTCACCAGAAACGTCAATAACAAGATATCTATGTGAACTAACAACTTCGAGGGGATTAGTGTCAATTGCATAAATATAATTAGGCATATAAATATATTTCATAGTTATGACTTTACACTTTTTTTGCATTTAACTTCATGTGGTTTTCGTCGATCCATTTGGAGATACTATGAATGTGTTTTTGTAAGTCAAGGGTATCATGAGGACTATGTACAGGTCTATAAATAACTCTATCATCAGCATAGTGCTTCATATGAGAAGTAGTATGAAAAGGCAAGTCGAAAACAAAGATATTAAGTGAAAGTTGACCCAGGACGGACCCTTGAGGAACGCATGAACCAACTTTATCCTCTAAGAATATACTTTGCCAACGCGCTGAAATCTGTTACTGAGAAATGAGTAAACACATTTCAGCAAAGATCCACATATTCCCGTACTATGCAGTTTTTTAAATAAGTAGATCATGGGAGACGCGGTCAAAGGCCTTTTCCCAATCAAAGAATATATAGCCTCGACGACCCGTGGGTTTTTGACATCCATTATTTGAGACCAGTCATGATATAAAGTGGTGGCTTGTGTAATACATGACCCACCTGGGTAAAACCCATGCTGAGTAGGACTGATAGACCCCAAAAACTGGAGATGAAATAGAATGTTGTCCGCAATGATACGTTCAAAGACTTTACTTATAATAGAACACAGCGATATGGGTCGATAATTTTTAATATCGTTAGGGTTACAACATTTAAATACAGGGGTGACATTAGCCAGTTTCCAATCTTTAGGAATTAAGCAATCAGTAAAGGGTTTATTAAATATTCTGCACAAAACAGAAGCAATAACAGGGACAGACATTGATAACATTTTGGGGGTAATATTGTCTGGCCCAGGGGATTTATTAGGCTTCAGCGACAAAAAGCTTCAATTTTTTTTTCATCAATAGTAACACTGTTAAGGGGGACAATATCAACGTGATCGCAGTTACATATCACGTGATTAACATCAAAGGAATTATCAGGTGAATTAAAAATTGATGCAAAAAAGAGTGGAAAATGCATTTGCAGCATCAGCATCGGAAATTAAAGGCAAATTGTTAAAAGTGGCTTGTGTAATACATGACCTACCTGGTTAAAACCCATGCTGAGTAGTACTGATAAACCCCAAAAAACTGGAGATGAAATAGAATGTTGTCCGCAATGATACGTTCAAAGACTTTACTTATAATAGAACACAGAGCGATATGGGTCGATAATGTTTAATATCATTGGGGTTACCAGATTTAAATACAGGGGTGACATTAGCCAGTTTCCAATTTTTAGGAATAAAGTCATCAGTAAGGAATTTAATAAATATTCTGCACAAAACAGGAACAATAACAGGGGCAGACATTGATAACATTTTGGGGCTAATATTGTCTGGCCCAGGGGATTTATTAGGCTTCAATCAATAGTAACTCTTTTGGGGTGGGGGGGGGACAATATCAACGTGATCGCAGTTACATATCACGTGATTAACATCAAAGGAATTATCAGGTGAATTAAAAATTGATGCAAAAAAGAGTGGAAATGCATTTGCAGCATCAGCATCGGAAATTAAAGGCAAATTGTTAAAAAATTTTAACAGGACCCATCTTACGTCTCAACTTAACATAACTAAAAAACAGTTACATACCCGTACGATTTATAATCGAATCGGTACAGGTTTTGGACATGCATTACTGTACATTTGCAGGATTGGATTGGATTGGATTGGATTTATTAAGGTAAAAACACCAACGATAGCCCAAGAATTTCTAGAAGAAGACTTATTTCCAGTGGGGTCCTTCTGGTGGTGATTGGGCAGTACACAGGGAGACAATCATCTCTTTTCCGAAGAGTACTGCGTTCTTTAACACGCACATGGGCCATAAATGCACACGGACCAACGGCTTAAACGTCTCTTCCGAAAGACAGTGTGCTATTGTAATTTGCATTTCAGCCCTCTAGCAGAAACACAAGGAGAGGTAGCGATGTTAATTGAACCGGGGATCTAGAGATCTTCATGGTTCAGCGCACACACCTTGGCTACCACCAGATTAGCCGACTAATGGAAAAAGTATATCTTTTAGAAAGTTGCCTAGGATGATGCTAACTCCAGTTATAAAATTCATTCGAAGAAAAAAATAATAACGTATAACAAATGTACACACGTTAAATAAATTATACATGGGCCCCAACACATACATGTGTTATTTGATGGTAAAAGATTATTATAATTTTATAATTAAAAAATATATTTCTATTGTGATTAAAATAACTAGAAAAAACAGAATATATAACATCAATGTTTGAACACAACTTTAGTAGTCTGATAGTTTTAGTAGCAATTTCAAATATTTACAAGGTTCATTTGAAGATTAGCCTTCCTCTTTAGCTTGCAAACGTATTCTTGGAAAAAAAACCCATTTTCAACAGAAACTAATCAAAGGTCATAAAAAGAAGCCCATGGGCTTCTATTCCAGGTTTTACGATATTCAGATGTTTTTTTAAATTAAAAACTTTGCAAACTTACATGTCCAGGTTGGATGCTTTCCATTGACCCAAACAAAATCAGTAACAAATTCGAGAGTAATGTCTCTAACTAGTCCAATCCAAACGCACGTGTAGTCATATTCCTCTTTAAACGGAGTTGCTAACTCATTTATGATCACGTGTTCTTCTTCTGTTTCAATAACAACCACATCAGCACCCTTGTCTAGGCAAATCTTTCTGGATTCATCGAATGTAGCCTTCGATGGATCGGGCAGCGAAATATAACAACTATGTTTCCAGTGCATCCAGTCTGAAGTCATACAATATTGACCATATTGTGCTGAAAATAGCCAAGTTAAAAAATTCTATAATTAAACTGTAAAATAATCTAAGACCGCGCAAGTGGTAGGGGGAGTAGGGCAAAGTAGGAGAGTGATGGAAAGAACAATTTGATCGAAGAGTCATTAGCCACAGACCTTATTCCTTTGGAAAGAGAGCATGAGAGGTTTAAATTTTCCTGATGATTGGAATCAAAGGCCGCTCTTTGTGGTTCAAAGGAAATGCCCCCAAAATCCCGGACATCGTACAGAGCTCAAATATTAATATAATTATTGTGATTATGCTTACTATATAGGCTAATGCAAGTAAAGGAATAGCATGAAAATAATAATAATAATAATAATAAAAATAATAATGATAATAATAATAATAATCATAACAATAAATAATAAAAATAAATAATAATACCAAAATAATATTACAATTAATGATAATGACGATAATAACTAAAAAGAATAGTAATAATGTGCTATACCAAGATATAATAATTTAATTTCATTTATTCTACAAAAAAAAAAAAAAAAAAAAAAAAAAAAAAAGGAGAAGGAGAAGCAAAAAAGTAGGGAGCATTTAGCAATACTAAAAATGCAATAATAATTACTGAGGATAGGCTACTAAAATGCAAAACAAGTCAATATTTTCTTGCCTGTTTCACATAAAGCGGATTTATTCGTGTTGCATTCAATTTTGGAAAACACGTTGAGATTAATGTGAAGAATAACACACTTTTCCGATGTAGATTGCGGTTGATGTAGCCAGGCTGAAAGGCAATAAACAGCTAAACATGTTATACCAACGTAACGTAATGCTCTTTAGTTTAAAAACGTATACTCTTACACTCACATCCACACACGCCCACCCTTAAATCACACTAATAATAGAGAACTGATATTAAAATCTAACTGATTAATTTTATGATGAGTTTTATACAACAGAATTCCATCGCTTACCGATTGCACTGCAGGTCTAGCATCACGATACAATTACAAGGACTGTGACATTGAGGATTTGGATTTTTGACACAATTGACGTATCATACCCCTAGCATTAGTGAAAGAAATTTTGAGGGCCACGTGCAGGACTAATTGTAATAATCATTATGAAAATAGGTTACGGATTATTAGAAACGTCATTCTTAATACCAATGTAAGTATTGTTTGAATCACGGATTGCCATTATTTAATTGATTTTAAAGTTGATTTACATTGGGCTCTATCCAACCATTCATTATCATCATTGAAATAGAAGAAAGTCCAATGGATGTTTAATATCAAAGATGCCTTTTAGGTCATACTTTGATAAAATACATTTCACATGACTTACCATTTCCATTTTAGTTAATTAAATTGTGCATGATGAAAAGTATTCGTGACCACCTCTTATTGTCCATGTTATTTTACCGGTTAAAATACTGGATTTTTAAATTGTTTTGCATAGTGGCAGTATGTAGTGGTGTCTTATGGATGGTTCTTGCTACTGGTATTGAAGGTTTTCTATTTTGTTGGTTAACGATTGTGCTCCACTAAACCAGATGGATGGTTCTTGTGTGAGTTCGTTGTTGTGGAAGAGATGTAAATTCTAATATAATATTAATGGTGCTTGACAGCTCCATCTGGACCATCTAACAGCTCAATCTGGACCATTTTTACTAACCTTTGCCTCATGTAAGGCATGCAAGCAAAGCAAGCATTTAGACTGGGGCCAGGGGGCGCCAAGGGCCAAAAAAATTAGCCCTTTAATTTCGGTAAATTCTTAGTTGTTTGATAGGCATGACGCTACATGTAATAAGATTTCATAATTGTTGTAATGTCCAAGTCGAAGTTTATTCCACGTAGGCCTACGATCTCGGTGAATTCCAAACATCATAAGGCTAAAACAGGGGTGCCGCCAGGATTTGCCCGAGGGGGAGGGGGGCCGACGCCCCCGACGAAGGGTTAGATTTCCCCGACGAAAGCAAAGTGGGTGTGGTCGACCTTCGATTAAAAGGCTTCGAAAGTGGTCCAGGGGGCGAAGCCCTCGAAAAGTTTGACATTTTAGGGGTTTCAAGGGCTTATTTAATCGATTTTAAGAGTCTACTAATATGTAGAAAATACACATAATTTTGTTTTCTGCCCGACAAATTGTACTTTTTCTCCCCGACCGGGGTGGGGGCGCCCCCCTGCTGGCGCCACCCCTGGGCTAAAAGTACGCTTATCAGTGATGAATTAACAACCTAGTCCTAAGTTGTGTACTATACATCGTCCTTTTTAAAAATTATTTATGAATACTAAAAATAAAAAGTGTTTACATACCCCTGATTGGCATATAACCAGGGAGTTGGTATAGCTAAGACTAGGAGACCTGGTCTACGCGCAGCCTTTCGTGGTAGGCATGGCCTAGTGTGGGTGACCGATTACTGTTGTAGCACATGTTCACATGACAATAAATTTAGGACGTGCACGAGACACAATTGGTTAAACTGTGATTTCAAATTAATCATGTCGTGTTAGTCCTGTTGTACGCCTCATGCAATCACCAATTGGCCTATATCATTTAATATTATTCAAATCACAAACTGATTAGGTCAGTAGTATACTACAGAAATTCAAGGTACATCGATTGTACTGGTGGAGGTCCTATTACGATTCAAAGGACTATGAGATTGAGTGTTTGAATTTTGGACACGATCGACCCATTATACAATTTTAGCACTAACAGATACCTCATTTCATTAAAAAATATACATTGGAATGTTCGCGGTGTTGGGGAGATCGGTTTATCATTATAAAAATATATTTTTCCCCCTCTTTCTGGTAAAGCCACCTTTATTCCCATTATTGTATCATTATTATATAAACCATAAAAATTTACATAAAATATATATAAGAACATAATAAATTAATCTCAGTTCTCCTACATATTTTCATTTTCATCTTATTTTTTTTACAAATAATTTATTTTCATTTATTAACACTTTTTTTTTCAAATACCTTTGTGTTCAACTTTAAAAAAAGATTTATGCGAGTCAAAAAAAAGGTACACCAACTGGGAATCACACCCGGGGGTTTTGGCTGTCTATGCAGACGCCTTAACCAACTGAGCCAATGAGGTCTTGTTAGGAATTCAAATCCAATTTAAGAAACTAATTCAAATAAATCAACATAGATATAACTCTCAACCGTCTAGCAGCAACATGCTATAATTATATACAGCATACCAAAAGGTGCGCGCGCTTCGTAGGCTTAACCTCTAGTGTGTGGACGTCGCTATTATTTTCGATAAAATGAATATGACCACTAAAAGACGATAAGTTGCATGTTATTTGTTATCTCGTTCAGTAATTTCTTTAGTTAAGTAATGTTAAAAATGCAACAGAGGTAAAATCATGATTTATGATTTACAAAGCATGTTGCCTGGACTTAAACAAATAGCAAATTGCGTTTAGATACAGGTTTTAATAGCTGCGTTTAATGTAATTTCACCTAACATAAAAATATTTAGAAACCACTAAGATCATATAAAACATCAGTAGTGTTAATTTTGTATGGAGAAATATCTATTTCTCACCATTATTTGCCTTGGAAAACATTTTTGTTTGCAATACAATTAACATAATTTGCAATAGGTAGGCCTACGATACAACATATTTTGGTCAGGGGCAGCTAAAGGAAAGTTTTACATTGCGAAACAGAAACAGACTATGGTTGACGAAAATCGAGTGTGTTTATCAACCGACTGTGCCTGAAAACCGAGTGTGCTTGAAAATCCGATGTGCTTAAATGTTGCCCTTCTGGCGTTCCATATAAAAAGTATAAAATAACTGACGGTAAAAATCAATGTTTTTCTCTCAATTAATCTGATCGACATTTTGATGTTACAGTACCTTTTTCAGACCGGTAGGTTTTGAATCTCAGACGTTTATTAAGGATCTCGGTTTTGCATTTGCATTTGAATAAGCTAATTATAATACATTTTCAACAATAAAAGTAGGAATCTGCAATTGTTAAAAAAGTTGTTCCAAAAATAAATACATTTTTATTATATTCTTTATATATAGCTTGCAATTAAAAACTGAAATGAGAACATAACGAACGTGCAATGTGAAGAATACCGTTAGTAGTCTGTTGTCTTATGTTATATTTTTTAGCTTTGTCATATTTTTGGGTAAATTCTTGGCAAACATGTCTAAAAATATCTAAGTAATTCACTGATTATGAAAAAAAAGGGTGCCAGTTTTTTTATTCACTTCTAGGGCCCATTTTGAACAAAACAATTTATTTATTTATCATACAATAGTCATTTTAGTTTATCTTTATATCATATAAAGGTATCAGTGATGCATTGGAAAGAAAATAAGAGCAGAAGAAATAACCACTCCCAAAAATCTTGCTACATGCTTATTCTGCTATAAATTCCAAGACTCAGTGTGAAGTGATCTATACGGACATGGCTAAAGCAATTTCAGCTATGTAATTATTAGTTGAATGAATGAAAATTGGAATAAAAATTTATATATGGGATATATGTTTACGTATGTGTATGTATGTATATATTGATACATATGTGTTTGATCGCGTATGTACTGTATGTATGTATGTATATATATATATATATATATATATATATATATATATATA